CGCTTGATTGTCATCGTAGATAAGACCAAAATCCATAATAGATGATACTGTATATATTGAGGGAGAAGCTAACACCAATCATAACCAAAAAGTGAGGTCATTGATACAGAGATACAGCCTGAATGGGACAAACTCAAATTGAGGTTACATTGTATGTCAAGTCTCGTTTATTAAACACCTCATCACTAGTGAAGGCTCAAAGACAGAGCCCTGCAAATATGAAAGCAATACTGGCAATGCCTAAACCAATAGATGTAGCGGGAATCCAAAGATTCATTGAATTTGTCAATTTGAGCAAGTTTCTACAGAGACTGAGTGAAATGTGTGATCCACACCCAGTGTTGTAATATTACAACATGAAGGAGTTAACCGTTCAAGTTGACAAATCTGAAACTGCCCTGCCCCAAAATGGACAGCTAATAGCATTTTGCCACTGATTAATATCCAAGTTAGAGATATTGTAACCACAAGAAAACGTTTTAAGATGGAGTCAACAACAATGAGGACAGACCTTTTCCACTCGTGAACCTTGACCTTCATCTACAATGATACAGACAACGTAATAACACCATTGGGAAGTGACAGTGCAGTTAATGCAATCCCTGTTTAATTACCACTATGGGATTCAGGGAGGCAGTGCAGAATAAATGAACACAGACAAATACGTATTTGATATTTAATTCACAGGTTAAATTAAAAGCTGGGAATGTACAAAACCTATTTGCCAGATATTATTCAAAGCAAACACACAAAAGTTAAAAATTTAGGAGCTAAAAAAAGTTTGAAAAACTGGGGGTAAATCTCATTTTGTACCTACTGACATCAACAAAGTAAAAACAAGCCTGGCATAGGAAAAGCAATGTATTTTTGATAGCTATGCATTTTTTTATTATTTTGAAATGATTGAAAACATGGTTACAAGATCAATGACTCATAGCGCAAAGAGAGTATTTACACTACCAGATAATTGCACGAAAGCAAATAAAGATAATATAAATCTCAATACTTTTATGTTTGACAGTGAATAGGAATAATATTACAACTGTTCCTATTATAAAATCAATCAAATCAAAATGTTAAAATGTAAAAAAAAAGTGCAAGCCGCAGTTACAATGTCCTTGTTTTCACTCGTCTTTACCTGCAATCTCTATATTCCCTGTCATGTCTATCATGCCCTCGGTGATTATCATGCCGCCTATCTCTGTGTTTTTCATGTTCATCATACTCGCTAACTCTGTTTTTTGAATGCTTGTCATACCGCCTATCTCTATGTTTTTCATCACCATCGTATCCCCTATCTCTATCTTGTGAATCATGCTCCTTATCTCTGTGTCTCTCATGTCTGTCATCCTTTCTGTCTCTGTCTCTGTCTCTGTCCCTGTCCCTGTCCCTGTCCCTGTCCCTGTCCCTGTCCCTGTCCCTGTCTCTGTCCCTGTCCCTGTCCCTGTCCCTGTCCCTGTCCCTGTCCCTGTCCCTGTCCCTGTCCCTGTCCCTGTCCCTGTCCCTGTCCCTGTCTCTGTCTCCTCTGCTGCATTCAGCATGCCTTTCATATCGATGGTCTTGCCTTGTTTCATTTTTAATGTACCTCCCTCTGTTTGTTTGTACATTCTGTCTGGCCAATGGTGATCTACTTCTTTTACATGACTGTTCACCTCTATCCCTATGCTTCTCTGTACATCAGCATACTTATCTGTAGCCTATCACATCCATTTCTGTCCACGTCTTTCTCCTTAGTTACCTCAAGATCCTTGGTAGGTGTATCATCTTTTCTTCTGTGTGGACTGCAAGTTACTTCAATCCATTCCTCTTTTCTTTTCTTCTTCTTTCTATCCATTTCAGAGTCACTACTGCTAGAATCCTCACTTGATTCACTCGTCTTTCTCTTCTTCTTATCTCTTTTTCGTCGTTTCCTACTCACTTCATCGTCAGACTCGTCAGAGCTGTCATCATTCTTGTTCTTCTGTTTCCGCTTCTTTTTCTTATGCTTTTTCTTCTCTATTCTGTCTAATTTTCTATAAAAATACACATTACTGGTTATCTCTTGAGATGTCAACAGAGTGCAAAACAGGACATATATGGAACAGCAAATTTGAGGAGTTAGCACAAACTTGTTCTGCTGTATTCTCGTAAACCTGGGGATAGCAGTATTCTCACAAACTTGATGGATGGATTGATAAATAATAACAAACTTAGGAAGTACCTTGTAAATTCACCATCTTTAGAAATTTACCTACGTAATTATTGGGCAGATTTTCAGAATTTATTGGCTTCTAAAAGTTTGACCAATCACAGATTTGTACTTTGTTCTCAATATTAGATTTTTTTCTAGGACATATGGTTCAACACTAATTTAGACAATACACAGTGCTATGAATGGTAACAGATGAAATGCATTTTACCTGTATCTTTTCTATGATGCTAACTTAGTCGTAATTAGTTTTTGGGGAACATGAAATATCACAAGTACCATAAAATTATTTATTAGAAGCCGTACCCATTTTTTAAAAACAATTGAGACCCAAAAATTTCACTTTTTCTTATATCTGTACATGTAGATGATCTAATACAAAGCTCCATCCACTCTGATGCATTGTACCAGTTTAATAGAAGCGTGACTTCTATTACAGATTTTACACACATACATACACACATACTTTATTGACATCATTCTGTTTGAAGAGAACATACAGTCAAGTGCTAAACTAATAATTAAAATTAAAATAAAAAAAAGGAAGAAATTAATATGTAGTTTAAATAAATACATATTTAAAATTATGAAATATTGATATATATATTTAAAATGCACCACATTCTCTAATATAGTTCGCAAGTTCCTTATCTACATTGCTCATAATGTATATGAACTTGTCATCTGGTTTCATCAAATTAAAATATGGATGTATATGAGCAATTTTTCCAAACAGCTGACATCTTGCATTTTTATGACTTGGACAATCAATCAGGAAATGGAATTCATCCTCCACTGCATCCGTATCACACTTTTTGCATACCCTTTCTTCAAACTTTATTTTTGGTCTAACATGCCTACCCTTCTCCATCATTAGACCATGGTCACTTATCCTGAATTTACAGATACTTTTTCTATAGTGGGGGTCTTTAATTTGTGTTCATTTTTGAATTTACAATAAGTTCTTAATTTATTATTTTCACCTGATGATGATTTTTTTGAGGTTATTTGTTTTTTCCATAATTCAATATAATTCTTTTCTATTTGATTTTACAGTAATTGTGTTTTGATCAAAATTATCTTTTTCAACAACAAGTTATTGAAAATGACACAGTCCCCGTTAAGTTCTCTTTGTGCTCATCATATTAA